ATGTGCCTTGGGGAAGATCTTCTGGGGTTGAGTCTATTTGGGGTCCTTTGTGTTTCTTGGGTCTGGATGCTTGAGTGCCTCTCTAGACTTGGGAAATTTTCTTCCGGAATTTCATGAAATAGATTTTCCATGCCGTTATTACTTTCTTCACCTTCTGGGATGCCAATTATTCTGATGTTTGGGCGTCTTATAGAATCTAGTATTTCTCGTATATTATCCTTGTGTGTTTTTTTGTTGTTGTTATTTTCTCTATCTTCTTGGTGGTTTTTTCTAGGTCAGAGGTTTTATCTTCTACATCAGAGATTTGATCTTCTGCATGGTCTAATAGACTTTTAATACTTTCAAGAGAGTTTTTGATTTCCTGTATTACAGACTTCGTCTCTAATAGCTCCATCTGATTCTTTCTCAAAGTGTCCATTTCTTCTTTCATATTGTGAAAGGACTTCCTAATCTCCTGAAGTTCATTGTCTCTTTTCTGTTCCAACTCATAGAACTTGTTCATCATGGGGACCAGCAGTTAGGGTAATGGCTATGTTGCTGGACTCCCATGTAGTCGACCGCAGTTCAAGTCCCGAACCTGGTGGCTTAAAACTCACGCTGGGCACGTGCGCGTGTGTGCCAAAGATCCTGAGAGGAGAATGGAGTAGAAGGGATTGCGGTGTGGCCATCCCCCCTGGGGGGGGATTTCTTGCTTTATGTCTCTCTGTCTCTCTCTGTCTGCCTGGTGAGTGCACGTGCCCTATGGCAAAAACCTCTCAAAAAAATAATAATAATAATAAAAAAAGAATTTGTTCATCATGAAGGTTCTAAATTCTTTCTCTGACATTTTGGTAACGTCCTCAGATTTTAGGAGATGGAGGGGAGTTACTCTGTTCCTTTGATGGAGACATATTTCCTGGCTTATTCAGACCTGAGACTCTTCTCCTACTTCTAGCTATTGGAAGATGTATTCACTTTTGAATATCTCTTAAGAGAATGTTTCTTCAACTAGGAGCAAGTGCGTTTCCCTTTTGCTGTGAATTGATGTGTGCGGAAGTAACTCTTCTGTTGTTTATAGCAATGTGGTCTCAAGAGGGGTACTTTATTCAAGTGTCTGAGGAGTACTATCTACGTATTCAAAGGTGGTTCAGTACAGAGGAGGATCCCAGGAACCTTACAATACTAGGGAATTTAAGATTGGTGATTCTGGATCTGTCTAATCCCTGTGGAAGGGTGGAGGATGAGAAAGAGAGGATAATGTAAGAGGGAAGAAAAGAGTATAGAGGAGATTAAAGAAAAAGTCACGTGCTGTGCTAGTGCGCTATTTCGCCAGTGGGCTAGAGATAGAACGGGAGGGCCCCTGTAGGGCAAGGGCCAGTCTGGTCTGTGGGTCAAGAGGAAGAGGATATTAGGAAAACAAAAAGAAAGAGCAAAGAAAAAAATAAAATCCTGCCTACCTTTAAAGGGGGTGGGGTCCTGGTCTTGGGAACCTGGAAGTGGCCCTGGGGCAGTGCTGCCCCTGCCTCAGTTTCCCTTGCTGGCCAGTGGGCTAGAGATGGAAGGGGAGGGCTCCTGCAGGGCAAGGGCCAGTCTGGGCTTTAAAGGGGGTCGTGTTTTAGACGTGGGAGAACCTGGAAGTGGCCCTGGGGCAGTGCTGCCCCTGCCTCAGTTTCCCTTGCTGGCCAGTGGGCTAGAGATGGAACAGGAGGGCTCCTGCAGGGCAAGGGCTGGTCTGGTCAGTCTCTATACTCTTTTTTAATATGCAAACGATCAGAGCATAGGCTTTTTTTGTTTACTAACAGAATGCCCCAGTAGAAAGAGTAAGCTGATTGTGATGGTAATTGATTTATTGCCTCTCAGCTCCAGATTCATTGTTCAATATTGGCTCTGCAATAATGGACAGAATTTATTTAAACTTGTTTCCTGTACAGTGAACACATTGTTAAACTGTCTCAGTAGAGGGCTTTGGAGGCTTTTTGTTTCATTTGGGAGTATTTACCCAAAATGTTTACAGATCCATCCAGTCTGAAAAGTTGTGAGATAGTCATTTTTACTTTTCCTCCTGTTGGAAGACCGGCTCTCACTTGCTATGCGTGTCCTGGGTGATCAGATTATTCTATTTGGAAAGGCCTATTAAATACAAATAAAAGGTCCATAAAGTAGTGTGATGGTTAAGGGTAATGGATCTCACATGGTTGACTATGCAATTTGAGTCCTGGACTTGGTGGCTTGGAAAACACTCCAGGCATATGTACATGCCCAAGATCCCAAAAGGAGAATGGAGAAAAAGGGATTGCAGCGTGACCATCTCCCCTAGTGGGTGCTTTTTCATGCCCCTCCCTTTGTCCTCTGACAAAATTAAAAAATTGCAAATGAGAGTTGTTAAAATGTTAACCATTGTTGTGGATTATCTACCTTTAAATTTGTTCTAAGCAGTAGGATACTGTCTCAGACCAAAAGCTCACCCAGAAGTCCAGCACACATAGGGGTAGGACTGGCTGTTACTGCGATCATGGAACCTGTAGCTGCCCAGCAGGCACCTCCCCTGACTCCTGTCCCTCAAGGTAGTACCCAAAGTACCATCTATGGCATCTAGAGCTGCACAGAGCAAGGTGTGCAGATCATAAATCTTAGACTAACTCTTTTACTTGGGAAACTGAGGCCGAGATATTTGAAATGATTTAACCAAAGTCTTGAAATTAATGGCAGCAGCAGGACTAAAGCCTAGCTCTGTGACTCCCAGTACATTCTGCCATTACCTGTGTTATCCTGTATTCCAGGATGATAACTGCTATAAAATCAGATTTAAACCTAGTAGTAGAAGGCATTACTATTGAGTGAGAAGAGTCAGAAATGTTTAGGATCCAGGAAGCCTTGCTTAGAATTCTGCTACTCCTCCACAACTATGGGAAAACACAACTTCTCTTCTCAGTTGGAAATCATCTCAAGCTTGACTTTAGTGGCAGAAATAACAAAATGGAATGGTTCCCCAAAAATATTTATTTAAAATTATGTTAGTGCTCTGAGTTTTCATGCATTAGAGAGAAGAAACTTTGCCTTCAGGTGTCTTGAGTTTCCCATGGTGAAGAGTGGTGTGGGTCTGGTCCAAAGGCTGGGTCTTCAGAGTTTGTGACTCACAGAGAGGAGGAAGCTGTCCTGGGGCCACAGCACCTTCCATATGGACCCCATCAAGAGAGAGGAAGAAGGGCATTGTCAGTGCAATGTCTTCATTCTGATCAGTTCTAACAAAAGTGACCCCACCTTAAGCTGGCTGTGAACTATGAGTGACCTTTGTCTTCTCCTCTGAGTTATTCCCCAATTATTGTGACTCATCAATAAAGTAATGTGGATAGTCCTTGTATTGAGACTTGTTTTGAATATATGTTGAAAGTTGCAGGGGAAAAAAAAGGTAGGTTCTTTCCATTAATATTTTTAGTTTCATTTTAAAATGGAAACCCAGGTTGGAGGTACCTGATTGGGCTGAATTGGTTTATGGTTCTGGAACTCTCAGCTGTAGTGCTGAAAGTTCAGAGCCAATCTAGCCTCTGAGCAGACACCCAATATAATGATTTAACTTAATTGGATAAATTTCAGAGATATGAATTAGCTAGCAAATGTAGTTTAGCAATATGTTAATTTGACTTCTGACTACATATTCAGGAGGGTGGACATTATTTGTGCCATATGCGATCGTTATGTCCCAGGCATCAATGATGCTCACATTGACATCCTGGAAAAGGCCTTTTAGGGTAAGATACTGAATGTAACCATGGAAGTCACTAAATCGCTCCACATCACTGTACATGTCCCTGGTATTTTCTGTCTTGATGATAACCGTAGTGTCTGGGCTTCTCAGAAGAAGACGCTGAACAGCTTTGTAAATGTTGAGGATCCTGCGAATAAAAAGGTCAATGGGAAAGGGTCTGAAATGCTGACCCAGAGAGATAACAATGATGGTGTTTTTTCCTCCTCCAGTTCTATCGACGGCCCGGGCAATGTACTCAATCTCTTTGATTGAATAGGTGTATGATCCAATCAAGGGATAACTGTGTTTTTGCCACCAGATGTTGATATTCTTATCCAGGTCCACAGCAAGTTCGTTTTCAAATTTTCCGGATTCATGCAGATCCACTGACTTCAGTGCTGATAGCAAATAGGCAATCCCAAAATGAAAGGAGAATAAAATTACAAAAATTGACTAATCATGGGACCAGCAGATGGCATAGAGTTTATGTTGCTAAACTCCCACATGGCTGACTATGGTTTAGATCCCAGACCTGGCACCTTGAAACTCATGTTGGGTGCTTGAGCATGCGTACCCCAAATCCCAAGAGAAGAATGAAGACAAAGGGATTGTGGTGTGGCCATCTCCCCTGGGGAGTGATTTCTCGCTTTCTGTCTCTCTTGGTCTCTCCCATAAGTGCATACATCCTATAGGAAAAATCTCTGGAAAAAAATTGGCTAGTCATAAAAATGGGAAAGGGAGAAAAGATTTGGTGTTTATAATTAAATAAGCTGATCACATCTGATTTAAATGATGGGATAGTTTTAAAGATTTTTTGAATAGTCAGAAGTGTTATGTGAATGAATGTAAGGAATTATAAATGTTGCCTTGTAGAACCTTGTAAAATCAAATGGATGGTGATGATAAGGCATCGAGGTGACTGTATGGATGGTGATGTGGTCAGTTTTGGAGGTATTATTTTTGTACGTATTCTAAGTGAGCACTAAGCTAATGTGAGGATAGAGAAATTTACATTATAAAACCCAGGTGAACATATTTCCACAAATACTCTGTTAATGCCCTTAAGACCTAGATTATATTCTATATGTTTCCATCACATATACATGGAGTGATTTCACATATATCATTTATAACGATAACAATATTATTACTCATTTGTGAAGTCCCTTTCAAATGAGCATTTATATGAACTGATACATTAATTTTCTTAATAGAGTCTAAAAACTGAGAGAGAAAAAGATCTGTCCAAGGTTAGTTAGTGACAGAATTGGTACTTAAACTTCTTCTCAATTCTTGTGAAATAATTTACCTGATCTTGACCCTTCTGAAAATAAGCACAATATGAATAAATGAAAATGAAACCTTTCCATTTTTCATTGTATTCATGAAACCATTGGACAGTCCTCATAGCCTCATGGTTATGGGAACTGGATCCCACATGGCTAGCTATGGTTTGAATCACAGCTTCAGCAGCTTGAAAAACAACATGCAGCACAGTTTCATGCATACTCCAAATCCTGACAGGATGGAGAAATGGAGGAGAAGGATTGCAATGCGACCATACCACAATGGAGGAAATTTTGCTTCTCTATCTCTCCCTGGCAAGTCCATGTGTAGTGATTAAAAAAAAAAAAAATGAGACCTTTATCAGAATATCAGGGTCAGCTTCTTTGTAGCTAGAACTTCTGAGGAAAATATGTAGAAAAGGGTTTGCAATGTTTTGTAACATGCACTATCTTGAAAGAAAAGGGCTACTTTTTTTTTTTTAAAGAAAGATTTTTGCTACAGTGTGTACACTTGCCAGACACACAGAGAAAGAAAGTGAGAAATAACCTCCAGAACCCATGGCCATGCTACAATCCCTTCTCCTCTCTGGATTTTGGGCACACATGCTCGCGTGCTCAGTGTGAGTTTCAAGCCACTGGATCTGGAACTCAAACTGCATTTGACCATGTGGGAGCCCAGCGCCTTAACCACTACTCCACTTGCTGGCCCCTGAAAAGGGCTACATTTGAAATCTGAACCCAGTGAGGTTGGGAAACAGAAATGCTAGAGTTCTGGATAGAAAAAATAAAATAAAATGACAGGGCTATTTACTTCAGTCTACTTCTAACTGCAATTTTCTTTCCCACAGCAACACTCTGCACCTAAAATTTGACTTCTATCCAGAACCTAACAGAGGAGTTGAAGTGGATGGATAATACAATAAGTAAGTACTTAATATACTTTATAACAGAGACCCACCATTATAGAATGTGATACTGAAGGTTATCACCAGACCCTTGATTTTGTAGATGAGGAACTGGAGTGCAGTCATTCACCAGATATCGCAGTTGAAAACTCTTTTTGTGGAAGAATTCTAATTTATCATTTAGTGCCAAGGGCTTACTAATTTTCCTTCTTCAGTTAGGAGGAGGGTCAGCTTTCCTTTAAGTTTAAGGTCATGAGAATGACTTCATATTACAATGGCTAGGATGGAGTCATAGTGACTGTATTCTTTAGTGATGAGAGTCAGGGCCCAGGGACATATGGGAGCAGGCAGTGATGATGTTATAGGTAAGATTGCTAAGGTCTTCTAGAGGATTCTGAGTTGCTACTGATACATGCTTGGTATAGTAAATAGAGCAACTAGATTAGGATTCAAGCCATTGAAGTCCAACCCCAACTTTTGACATTAACTAATAATATTTACAATAACTCTTGTTTTGGGGGCACTTTTCTTGTGCAGTGTGTGAAACACTTTATGTCCCCTTCCTCATTTAACCATCAGAAAAAACACAAGGGAGCATTATTATTCCTTATTCCTAGTTGGTGGATGAGGAGAATGAGGCAGAGACAATACGTAATATACCTAAGATCATTGTTACTAAGTGACACATTCTAGGTCTGTTGGACTCGAAGCCCACGCTCAATAATCGGACCATTACGCCTATCTGGTGCAGAGGTATTACTTCACTCCCAACAGCTGTCTTCTCAGTTAATAATAGTGATACTAGTTTATGCCAAAGAGAACTTACTTTTTAACTAACAGCATTCTACTGGGCTGTTGGAAAGTCATGATGCATTTTTACGTAGAAAAATACTTTCCCAACCACCTAATAAATGCACTGTATGGGTATATTACCTCATTCTACTCTTTACACCCCCGCTGACAGATGAGAAAACTGAGACAGGATGGTTATCCAAGTTGTCCAGGGTCACCCAGACAGGATGTGGAGAAGTTAGCTTCTGAATCCAGAATATCTGAATTCAGGATCCTCATCCTCTTAACCACCAACCAAATGTACAAGGTGGACAATTTAATATCTTAAGTTATCTTCACCTCCATCAATAATTTTCTGAGCATGTTGGTAAATATTGAAGGATGAATTCTATAGAGATAAAGATATAATAAACCTTTTTCTATACTGGCTCCCTTCCAGAAAGATAAATGTATTCTTTTAAAGGGAAGATAACAATGTCATTTGAAAAATGTTGGTGTGTTGTGATTAAGAAATGTGACAAAAAAAAAAAAAAAAGAAAGAAGCATTCCCGTAGTCTTTCCTCCCTTTGAAATGAAAAAGAAATTTCTGAAAGGGACAAAAACAATAGCTTAGAGTAAGGCATACTGTTGATATTGGTTTTGAAGTATTCCATCCACTGGCGGATCGTGGAATCTCCCATCAGATAGATAAATTTTCCTCTCAGGCATTCTTTCATTTCAACTGGAGCCAAACTACAGGAGGCAGGATTCCATTTGTCATTCCAGACATGCCCACTGGGGATTGTGGTTGTCATTCCAAGCTTGCATTTCTCTTTCACTGGAACTGTTTCTTCTGCCAAAGAATTAGCAATATAAGGTTTTCTAAAACATCAGGTAATCCATCAGTATGTATTAAGAGCCCTCTGTCTTTCCTTTTCTTTTTAAATTTTCTTTTATTTATTCTTATTATTTTTAAATTTGTTATAGAGCACATGCACACATGAGAGAGAGAGAGAGAGAGAGAGAGAGAGAGAGAGAGAGAGAGAGGGAGAGAGAGAGAGAAAGGGAGAGAGATGGGGTGAGGGGAAGTGAGAAAGCAAGCTGCTAAGTCCGGGACTCGAACTGCGGTCGGCCATGTGGGAGTCTAGCACTTTAGCCACCCTGCCATTGGCTGGCTCCATCTTTTCTATGTATCCTCCTAACAAGAGATGATGGTCACAATTTAAAACTCTCCTTTCTATTGGGACTTCTTTTTATAACTTGGATCCAAGGGCCTGCTGGTTTTCCTCTTTTTATTGGGAGGATCAGTTTTCCTCTAAGTTTAAGGTCATGAGAGGGGACTCATGTCAGTAAGGCCACAATAGAGTCACAGCAACTGCATCATCCTCAGTGGTAGTGGTGGAAAAGCTATTCTCTTAATGCAGTAGCTATTTTTCACTTAAAATTTTCCCTAATACAAATTTTGTAAGCAATACCCACTAATGTTGATTATTAGAACATTTGCTTTCTTCCAGAAAATAAAAAGTGGTCTTTGCAGTAAATATTAAGTATTTGTTAATTTTCCAATGAAAACAAAGTTCTCCATTCCATAGTAGTAGAAGCTCAATTATCTTGTCATTTTAGGTACTTTATCCCTAAGTTTCTCACACCCTGTCACAGTGTCTTAAATGCTATCGTCAAATTATAGATCCTTTGAGTTAAATGCAGGATGATATAAACAATATGAATCTTTTTTCTTTCTTTTTTTTTTTTTTAAAGAGTGATTTTTGCCATAGGGTGTGTGTGCTTGCTGGAGAGATAGAAAGTGAGAAATCATCCCCCAGGGGGATGATCATGCCCCAATTCTTTCTCTTCCATTCTCTTCTCTGGATTTTGGGCATGCATGCACATGTGCCCAGTGTGAGTTTAAACTGCCAGGTCTGGGACTCAAACCATAGTTGATTACGTGAGAGTCCAGCAACGTCACCATTATGCCATCTGCTGGACCCACAGTATTAATAATTAATTTGACTTGGGAACTGGTCAATCTGAATGGATATGGCTATAGGTGAAGAGAGTCTGGAGGTTCAAGTTTGGGCCAGTGACTCTGTAGTCAGTGGTTTATGCAGTCTGGAAACCCAAGGGATTGAAATGGCTAGGATGGTGAGGAGCCCAGGGGTCAGCTTCATCAATCAATCAAAGGAAGTAGTTTACTCTTTCAACAACTAGCATGAGTATAGCCATGTACATAGGATGGAAAATGCCATTTTTACGTCTAGGTACACATTTATACTTTAGTATAGACAAGCTTACTAATGATTAGCAAGCTTTTAGCACTGAACTTAAACCATTTTAGGTGGGGATTTACTAGACTATTTGGAGTAAAGTAATCAAAGAGAATTTAGTAAATCTAAATGTGGAAGTTCTATTTTGTATGTTAAAATTGTTCGAAAGGTGGCAATGACCAAGAGGGCTGGGGAACTGTAATAAGTTGACTACCAGAAGACAGGCTGGAAACCTCTAGATGATGATTTTCGGGCCAGGTGTGAAGTGAGAGGTGGTGCAGATGGTGGTGTAGAGAGGGGTGGTCTGGGAAGATAAGGAACTAGTTGTATATTTGGGAGTGAGTTTTAGCAGTTGAAGGTAATTGTGTAAGATAGATAGGTAATCTATCTCTTAATGAGAGGATTGATGATAAGAGTTACAGTTACTTAAGCAGGTTTATAATACCCTAGTGATTCTACTTACTCAGTCACTTGGGTACCTGGTATCTTGGCCTACGTTAGACAAGCTGGGTGAGAAGAGTTCTGATTGAACAAAATAGTAAACAAGTCCCACAGGAAGAGGAACCCCTTTAGAAGGGTCTAGTACTAAGCGCGACCCACCAAATACAGGAACACTTACTGCTGCATTTAGAGACACTGATCATGTTGAAGTTTTCCATAATCTCGACACCAATGTTTGGCCTTAAAGAGACAAATATAGAAATTAATCTGTAGGTGGCTCCAAATCAGGAAATATTCAAGAGCACAGATTATCCAGTACTTCAGTTATTTCTTAGTGATGAGTTTATTACTGTGTCCACAGTTTCAGGTAATCGAGTACATTTCCACATCTTGGCCGATTAATCCATGAGATACACTTACTCCAGAAAGTATACAAGGTGATATATTGAGATGTAAGAAGAGTATATTAGAGCATATACACATAAATATATGCTGCTCATTCTCTTTTAGTTTTTATTCTGTCGGTATATATATATTTTAAACTTTTTTTTTTTTTTTGAGAGGTTTTTGCTATAGGGCACGTGTGCTTGCCAGACAGACAGAGAGAGACAGAGAGACAGAAAATGAGAAATCACCCCCAGGGTGGATGGCCACGCTGCAATCCCTTCTCCTCCATTCTCCTCTCAGGATCCTGGGCACGCACGCACATGCGCCCGGCGTGAGTTTTAAGCCACCGGGTCCGGGACGCGAACCATAGTTGACTACATGGGAGTCCAGCGACATAGCCGTTACGCTAACTGCTGGTCCCCAAACTTTTTTTTTTTTTTTTTAGAGGTTTTTTTTTATGGGGGTGGGGGGCCCCC